AGGATTGAAAAATTCCCCGGCAACATTCAACCGAGTGGTGGCTCATGCGTCAGCACCGTGCCTACGCGCCCCATTACTTTGACGATGTATTCGTGCATAGTAGGGCGGAGGACGGTCTGAGCGCAATCGAGTCGCACAAGCGTCATTTAGACGCTGTGTTGCAGACTTTGGGTGACGCCCAATTATACGTAAACTTGCAAAACTGCGTCATAGGGGTCCCCGAAATACCTATACTGGGCTGCATTGTTGGTGCACATGGTGTACGAGCAGACCCAGAAAAGGTAAAGGCTGTAAAGGAATGGCCAGTCCCACGTCATGTGAAGGATCTGCGCCAATTACTTGGGCTCGCTAATTACTTGCATAAGTACAGCAAGAATTAAGCGGAGCAGACTAAGCCATTGTCTGACCTTTTGAAAAAGGATACAGAATGGACTTGGTCAAAGGAACAAGAAGATGCGTTCACTTCAGTGAAGCAATCTCTTGTAGAGGCACCGGTCTTGGCATTGCCAGACGCGGATAAGCCTTTAGCGTCGTCTTCGATGCAAGCAATTTTGCAATCGTCAGCGCGCTCATGCAGAAGGATGACAACGGCGTTGACCGTGTCATTTCTTATCAGTATCGGCTTTTAAAAGCTGCCGAGCTGAATTACCCTGTGCATGACAAGGAGCTACTTTCAATCAAGTATGCCCTTGTGAAGTTTTAGGTGCACCTCTTGGGCACCGAATCTTTTGTGGTTTATACGGAACACGCATCACTGAGGACCGCTATAAGTTCACCGCACCTCTCGCCGAGAATGGCAAGATGGCTAACATTATTCTCTGAATTTAATTTCAAAGTTGAATATAAGCCGGGTAAGTCGAATGTCTTGGCTGACGCGTTATCGCGCAGACCAGACTTCGAGGCAAGACACCACGAAAGTGTGTCTCGTGCGAAAGCAGAAGTGGAGTCGTCAACACTGGCAGCCATGAAGGCCTACCATGTGACGAGCTCAAAGGCCTCCGATATAAAGGAGTGTTACAGTCAGGACGAATATTGTCGCCTGCTGTTGGATCATTTTGGTGGACGAAAGGTTACCCTTCCTTCGCACCTCAAAGCAAATCTAAATCGCTTTAGTTACAGTGATGGTCTGTTATGGCATCAACTGTCACCCTGTGATCCCTTGAGAATCTATGTCCCTCATGACACAGATCTCAAGCTGATGATACTTCACGAGTGCCATGATGCGCCATCTAGTGGGCATCTGGGCCGTGAAAAGACATTCTTACGAGTGTCAGAGGAATTTTGGTGGCCCCACCTATATCGGTGGGTGGCCAACTATATTCGCTCTTGTGAAGAGTGTCAGCGCATTAAGCCTGCACCTTCAAACAGTGCGCCACTGAAGCCACTGCCGATTCCGACGGGTTGTTGGAAGTCGGTCAGTTTGGACTTCATGTTTGGCTTACCGCCTGACCATAAAGGCAGGACGGGGCTCGTCGTCTTTGTAGACAGACTGAGCAAGATGGTGCATTTGGCACCATGTAGCACCAAGATCTCAGGAAAAAAGGCTGCCCTCTTGTTTCTGGATCACGTGTATCGACTACACGGGATGCCCGAGTTTATAGTATCGGACCGGGATCCGCGTTTTACGTCGGGTTTTTGGCGACATGTGTTCGAGCTGCTGGGTAGCAAGCTCCACATGTCAACCGCTGATCATCCCCAGACCGATGGCCAAACAGAACGGGCCAATCGAGTTGTGGCGGATGTGTTGCGTACTGTAGCGACTTCTAAGGTATGGAGCAAGCAATGGCCATTCGTGGAGTTCGCTATTAATAACAGTGTTCACGCCAGTACGGGTGAAACACCGTTTTACATTAACGGACTGCGTCATCCTCGAACGCCAGTCTCGTTTGCACGCAGCCCGAGTCTTAGTGAGGGAGGGCCCCTCACTTCGCTCGGTGCGAATGCCAAAGAGGGCCAAGGTTGACCTAGTGACACTGCTAGTTTAGCAGTGGTCACGACACCTATAGGTGTCACAGAGGAGGCACGTCAAGAAATGCCTGTGCTCCTTGACGATAACACCTCAATGTTATCAACAGCGTCGACCCATGAACGACCTCTTGGAGGCGTCATAGGCGATCTGGATGCTAAAAGCGTGAGCGAAGCTCAGCGCTTCGTGAATGAGCGATTAGCCATCACACGTAAAGTCCGTGACGCAATGGCAAGCGCACAGGACAAGCAAGAACAATATGCAGACCAGCATGGTCGCAAAAACAATGAACACTTTAGTGTGGGGGACAAAGTGCAATTAAAGTACTGCTACCCTACCTAAACATGCAATTTCTGTACTACCTGGTGGTAATACTAAGCTATTGACCCGATTCATTGGGCCCTTTACAGTGGTCGAGGAGGTTGGAGACCTGAATTATAGGCTCACTCTCCCACCGTATATGAAGACGCACCCCGTATTTTACGTGGGTCGTCTGAAACGATATGTTGATCCACAAGAGATCACATATCCACATCAATCTAACGAGACCGATGGTGACGTCGACTTTGAGTCGAGCGTCGCGGCCGATCAGGCGACGAGAAAGACGATAGGCTCTCCGTATACGAACGAAGCGATAGAAGACTCGGCGACCGAGGAGGACTTCGCGCTTGACACAGGTCTCTCATCACCAGTCGCTCTAAAATGTCCAAACGGAGCTTCAGGCGGACATACCCCTGACGGTCCCTCACATCGCGCAGATCCGAAGTCAGCCGCGAGACTTGACTCTAGTGATCAGTCACCTGCCTCTTCAGCGCAGCGGCCTCAGCCTGCGACTGAACAGCAGCAGGGTAGGCAGCCGCGAGTAGGTAAGCGTAATCGCCACTCCTATCAGGCGCCACCTATATTGGTGGACGCGAAAGGGAACACGCGCTTCCTTGTTGGAGGGCTGTTGGCTCATCGGTTGGTGAAGCGAAAGCTCCAAATCCTTGTCCAGTGGAAAGTACCCAACGAGCTTTGACTTATGGTATCCTGTTAACGCTTTGCGCGTCGACGTGCCTAGGATGTTGGCTGTTTATGTGAAGCAGCACCAGCTGGTGTCTTTCTGCTAGGTCCGGATGGACTAACAGAAGAAGCGTAGCGAGAATCAATTGGGGGTCGCTCACCACCCAAGATTTCATGCGCACGCTACATGGCGAAGCTGATTCTCTGCGACCGTTGTTTCGTTGCATCTACATGCAAAGTTACACGGCGCCGAAGTTCAGCTCATATTCATCGGCTCTTTCGTTAGACGCAGCACGACTGGAATTGGGAAGGCACGACCAAGTGCTTCGCCCTGCTTTTTCCACAAAGGAAAGACGCTATAACACCAATGAGCGTCAATAGTGGCACGCTCCAAAAGCGCTGCACTAGACTCCTTCGAGTTTATCCACTCGAATGGTGGTGGCATTGGTGGCAAGCCACCACTCACGTAGCCACCCTCGCGACTGCGGGCTAGTGAGTCCGAACGTGTGCTCGGTGGAGCTTTAAGCTCACACTCACCTGAGTCTGACTCTCCATTATGGATTTTCAAGACATCAGCCTGACGAGTCACATCAGATTGAGCCGCTACTGCTTCTTTCGAAGTAGCGTGCTCAGTCTTAGTCGCTGCACTCGTAGGCGCAGACGACGAGGCTTTACCTTCGCTTGCAAGAAGCATAGACGCTCCCTCAAGGACGGGTGCCTCAAATGATGGGGATCAATGCGCTTTGCTCATCTCCACTTTGGGGTGATGGCAATGGCGTGCTCTCATTGTAGCCTACAATGAGAGATGGATCTTCATCCACATTATCGTGAGATGGAAGATTCACCTCAGTGCCTGAAGCACTTTGCGACGGCTGCGATAAATCGCGGCGCGTGCGCTAAGTGCTGGACTGCATGGGTGCCTTTGCAGGCGACCCATCAGCCTTACCATGTTTCGGTGGCATGAGTACTGAGCAGACTAAAGCGGCGCGTTTTACAACAGCTCGCAGTCTCTCTGTCTCCTAGGCGATGTTTTACAACATGTAAACATCGTTCTAAAAGGGGGATGGTGTAACAGGGTATCTAGTTACACGTAAACATTACGTAATATACCTAATGTAAAGTTCTAAGTGTATTCATGATTACTTTTGACCTGTCACTTGGGTGCGATACACAGATGTGATCCACCCTCGTGAATGTGATATCCATTGATGGATTCACATGGGAAGGGATGACGCTAGTTGAAGCTAGGCATCGCGACGTCACAGAAGGACGTCATTAGCAAGCTTAAATCTAGATTTAAGTTCATGCGTCAGGATACGCTTCTAAAGAGTCGCGTATCTGATCTATAGTTATATATATAGCCATTCAGTAGTTAAGTTTATATATAATTATAATTCATTAAATATAGCTCAGTCTTGAATTTGCTAAATCGAAGCGTCGCGCACGAGAAGCTGAAAAGCTCCTGCGTGACGTCGGTGACTTGTGTCTAGAAGTTCGTTGCACTCTCGCTTAAGCGAGAGGCAACTGGTGGTACGACTGCTTAAGCAGTCGACCAATCACATAACCACCCTCGCACGCGAAGGTAAGACGGTCTAACCGCTTCCTCGCTTGTGCTGAAGGTGTGTGCTAAGAAGCGCGAGGCAACTTCTTAGAAGTGCCCTTCCATGACAAAAGAGGTACATGACCGGAATTCGCAAGACCACGACACCAAAACCGGCGAGAACTATAGCTTCTGTGGTGGTGCTCTTATCACGCGGTCTCATTTGCTAACGACGATGACGTGCGCTCAAGAAAAAGGAAAATACTAAATTCGTGTCAGTGGTGCAATTTATGATGAAGGTTTTAAAGACACTAAAGACGGCGACGCATTTCCGCTTAAGGAAAATTATGTACACCCGAAATTTAACTGCAATAAAACGTTTTATTCAGCTTTGCCGTGTTAAAGCTGGCGAGAAAAGTACAAGATGATATCAAAACAGTAAAGCTTCTGGCACCTGCCACTGAGACCCAATCTGGGATTTTGGCAACGGTTATGGGTTGGGGTGTTAACGCCACTAATGATGTGCTCTCCGATATGCTACTCAAGCTTGAACAGCAGCTGTTCTCCGACGAGGATTGTCATAAACAGACCGGTATGAACACTGTCGATATGACATACATGTGCGCTGGTGGCGAGGAGGGTGGGTCCCCGAGCATTGGAGACTCCGGCGGTCCGCTGATCCTCGAGAACTTTAACGGCGATGACGTTTTGATTAGTTTAGTCAGCTCTTCCCTCAACATCAGCGGCGCCAAAAGATACCCCACTTATTATTTGCGTTTTTCGTCGCTTCTTGACTGGATCGACACTGCCATAGATGCATAATGGGCACACGGTTTGCGTGATCTTAGTACATACAGATTCACAGAGGTTTGGCAAGATTTTGTGGATGTCGAGTAAGCATGCGAGAATTTACCTTTTCGCACACGTAGTCTCTGAAATGTCTGCACTCTGCCTTCTTTTCGTAAGGATTGAATCCTTCTAGATAGCTAAGTGTAATAAACCCCATTCTAATGTCTTAAACTGCCATCGAGAAATACTTGCGTACGATGACTGCTGCAGCTTCAGAGTTGATAACGGCAAGAGAAGACGCGGTTTACGCTTGCGTACGAAGTTATGAACCAAATCAACTTCGTGTCAATTTTCGTAGCTAGCTTTGAGCTTTTGGTTAGGAAACAATAATACGAAGAACTTGCAGCTTGCTAGCTGGACACAATTAAATGGAATGCATTGCACCATGCACCATATTAAACCTCTAAAGATCCTACCTTCCCAGTGTGATTTTCAAGTATCAAATGGCTTAATATTAGCCATACGTTCGCGACATTACGTCTAGCATCTTTCTTCCCTGCGTACTGGATTGGCAATTGGTCGAGAAGTTGCCCCCCGTACGCTGCCTTATCCGATCTGCATTGTAGCGGGGCTGCACAGCTCTTTAGCCAGAGGAAGACTTTAGGCTGAAAGCCTCTTAGTTCTAGAGAACTAATAAATTTACGGCTAAAAGCCACTTAGTTCTAAGGAACTAATTAAAAGACTTAAAGTCACCATGTTCTAAGGAACGAGGAAAGAGACTTTTATCCTGCAAGCAATAAGCTTAAGGCCCAGAGAACCAGCGCACAGAGTTCAAGAACAAGCTAGAAGCTTAAAGGTTCAGAGAACCAACGCACGAAGTGCACAAGAGAACAAGTCAGAACGACTTGCGATCTTAAACTCAAAATGAGAACTGATTTTATTTAGGCTTTAAGATTTTATGAATAGTCCTACTCTAAGTACCCTACACTAGATTAATTACTATAATAGTAACTATAATATGCAGACTTTGCTAGTGGACGACGTATCGTATAAACATCTGTGTATGATGTACTCAGTACAGCGTTATCGATTATCGAATCCTAATTGTAATAGGGCACCCTCCGACTATACTGATAACAGTATAGTCTACCTTCACTGATGACAGTAAAAGCAGGTGCCTTAATTATATCACGTACACGTGAGCAGAGGAAGTCAATCAACTAAACACACGCTTAGTTGAGAAGGAAAAGAAAAACTGTATTTAATATAGTTAACTATCTTAATAAAACTAATCTGTTATAACCTATGTTAACTATATTAAACTACAACTATGTATGTTGACAACGTGCCCTCCACTCATTGCGCGCGTCCATCGGTCATTGGTCAGCGCGTTGGTTGATATGATGGCCCATATCAACCAATAAGAGGGCATCTCCAACTTCAAGGAGATCTAGGAACAATATTATGGGAAAAGATAATATTGTCAAATATTATTAGTTATAATAATATTTTATGACACTTCATATAAGTGTCAATATCATGTAACGGGCTCACCCCGTTTCAAAAGTTTTCGAACATTTGCTGCATTTATACCAATTTGTTTTTTTGCTTTGGCGATTCCTGGTTGTTTCATGGCTGATTTTTTTCAATATGAAATAATTGTAAGCCCAAGATTTTTGTATACCAGCAGAAGCGCCCAACACAGTACGGTTTGCATCCTGTGTGACTGGAGTAACCGAGGTAACACTAACCATTGGAGTAATGGACAAGCCCTGACTGTCTTCAATCAAAAAATGTGTGTCAGATGAAAAGTGATGGGTGCCGGGTTTATTATCTGATTGTATAGTGTAAAGAAGAAAGAGAGGTGAAGGGTGGTGGAGCAGGTGTGTCTGATGTATGTCCCAAAAATTTGGTACATTTACCCATGGGTAAGTTGGTTAACTGAAGCCAATTACCCATACCCAACCCATGAGTCTGAGTCTGGGTACCACCTCTAATGTTTACCAGAGCCTGTGGTTCAATCGTGCTGCATTTTATCACATGTTCGTGTCGGTGATTGCGCTTTTGTACATGTGTTTTTGCGACGTGAATCTCCATTTTCATATGGTGGCCGCCTCTCTCCCACGTAAATCCAACGCAACGTTGCTCCAACCGCAACCTGTATTCTTCGTATTCTGCTTATTCCTAATTCACCGCCTCCTGCACTCACCTTCTCCACACCTCCCTCACAATGAAGGTCATCTCCACGATTACAGCTTCGCTCCTGATTGGATCGGTTACTGGACTACTTGGTGGCACACCAGTTTCCCCCGACGGCGCTCTTAATGACCGCAGCTTACAACAAAAAAGTTACACAACCGGCATTCGCAAGACCATCGACCCAAAATCCAGCGACGACTTTAGCTTTTGTGGTGGTGCTCTCATCACGCATCATCATGTTCTAACGACGGCAACGTGCGTTAAAGACGGTAATGCTAAATTCGTGTCAGTTGGTGCGATTTATATTAACGGTGGTGAAGACGGCGACGAGATCAAGGTCGTGAGCGTCACGAAACACCCGCACTTTAACAATATAACGCTTTCGAACAACTTTGCCGTGTTAAAGCTGGCGAGAGAAGTAAAAGCTGATATTAAACCAGTGAAACTTCCGACACCTGGCACTGAAATCCAACCTGGGAAGTGGGCGACGGCTCATGGTTGGGGTCTTACCTCGGCTGACGGTATGGCCTCCGATGTGCTGCTCAAGCTGGATCAGCAGTTGATCTCAAACGAGGATTGTCGCAAAAAGCTCGGTTCGATTACTATCGATATGACCCACGTGTGCGCGGGTGGTGAGGTGGGTAAGTCACCGTGCCAGGGAGACACTGGTGGTCCGCTGATCTACGAGAACTCTAACGGCGATGACGTTCTGATTGGTTTAATCAGCGGTGGCACTGACATCGGCTGCGGTACCATGGGATACCCCGCTATCTACTCGCGTGTATCGTCGGTACATGAATGGATCACCACTACCATGAAGGCATAATGGGCACGGCTTACGTTATCTGAGCACGGCTTACGTTATCTGAGCACGTATAGATACACAGAATGTCGAGGAAGTATGCGAAGATGTACCTTTTGAATCTTAAACAAAAAAAACGCACACATAGTTTGAAATGGCTGCACCTTGCCTAGTGTTACTTTTTGTAAGGATTGAATCCTCCTAGATTGCTACGTGTAATCGACCCCAGTCCTGTGTTTTTGGACGTAAACCCGAAGCTCTTAACCAGCTTGGGCAAGATCATCTCAATAAATGATTATCTTATTAAGATGGCGCTCCAATTGTTCGCTTGATACGGACGAGCGCGCTTTTTTCACATTCACCAGTTTCGATAACCATAAACTTATGAGCTGCTGCATCGCAAGCTTTACCGTCACTTTGTCATCACTAACGCACACGTTAAGTGAAACTTAAGCAATCGATCGAAGAGTTCTAGTCAAAAAACCGTGCTCCACGTACACATCGCACAGACAAATCATACACCCCACAGTAGTTGTGGTAGAAATTCGACTGCAAGCACCAGACTTTGTTTGTTGTCACGATCGGTTTTCGTTATCGATGAAGTTGGTCAAGGCAATCGTCTACTGACCCTACTTTTTCACACCCACCAACGGACAGATATGGTGTGAAAACACCTACCAGGCAGAAACACGCTAAGATGATCGAATTTGAAACTGATATCCTTAAAGCGAAAGTGTCGTTCTGGAATGACCCCGAAAAAATTGTTCAATTCTTCCAATGGTGCCAAGGAACGTGCTACCACATACGTGACCAGATATGACGTCCATAGTTTCTTCCAACCCTCCACTTGGGACTCGAAGTGTCGATTATCTTGTTTAAGGGCAGCTGAAGAGCAGATAGTTCCGGAGACATTGCAGCACGTATTTATGTCGTTAATGGAATTTTACACTGCAAAATACAACAGGCGCGGTCGTTCTCGTCACCTTCATTGAAGAGCTCGATCGGGCGCTTCTACACAGTCCGCTTATGATGACAATGCATCGACCAATTATCCAGGAACGAGAGGGGCAACAACTCTGCCCCACTCGTTTGAACCGGTGTCGCTGTGGTAAACGATGTTGCAGCTATGCATGCATGCCTCACGGGAATATCTCGACGGAGCCTAAAAGAAGCGGCATGAGACAGTCAACCCCATTGCAAAAGAGATCAACTAAGGCGATGACTGACAATGCAGCCTTATCGACCGAGCTCTATCAATCGACACAGTAAAATAAACACAAGACGGGTGAATACCTGGTTCTTACGGCAGCGAAATGTCGTCAGCTACATTTTGCAGGACAAGCAATCGAAGATGACAGATGTCCTTAGTGCTGCGCTGCTGGGGACAGCGTTTATTCATTAGAGAAGCACATGGAGAGTCCATTTGTGAGGAAGCCACCTAGAGCCGTGGAATATAGACCGAAGAAGCGGCCATTGGACGCATGAGCGATGTCAAGGTCTAACCGTTCTTTATCGGCTCAAAGTAGCCATCTATTGTATTCTTCACACAGCGATCCACGAGTTGTTTACCTTATTGACATCTACCGTACCGTAACTCTCACACAACAACCGAGATATAATAGCCAACACGAATATGACGCCGTCAACAATATTGGTGTCATCCAGCTGCAACAACAGCATCACATGCCCCTGCATCTTGCACAGCGGCAAACTCTCCCTCAACATGACGTTCAGCAACAACGGGAAATTGACTTAATAGAACACAACCCAAGATACTCCGGATAGGAATCCATGGTAGACACGACCACATTGATTGCGAACCGGGAGAATGCGTAGATCACGACCGCAGTGAACAGTCACAGCCAGTTACGCATTCCCACAGACGCCCACGGCCAAAGACGTGCCCCTAATCAACACACCGGACGAGACAACGTTCAGAAACAATTACACTCAATGACATATGAGCTTCTGCTGACAGGAATGTGCGGCACAGGCATGTGTTCTAGTGTTTCCTTCACTCCTCGGCTGGCAAGAAGAGATCCTTCATATACTGACTCTTCCAAGCTTAGTAGCTAACCTCCGTTGCGGAGACCCTAGTAATGAGAGTCCGGTGGACGAACCCATGTGCTCGGGCTGTCGCAAAAATGTGCAAAGGAACGCTCCAGTCGTGGTGTTTAGAGGGCTCAAATTGTCTATATACAGAGAGTTAAACTATGTGCAAGATCTCTGGTTAAGTGGTTGCCTCAGTCTTCTACCATGACGCGATCATTCCCCTCCTCGCTTTCCCATTCTGCTGGTTCGATACGTTAGACTTCACGGGGGGGCACTCTTCTCAAGACACGTGAGTAGGTCCGTTGACCAAGTCCGGGGTTAGTTTAAATCTGTGCGCAGTCTTGACCGGATGGCTGGGCTGCTCGCGCACTCGGAGCAATCTGTTTTCAGGGGACAGTGGATGCTTGGATGGGAGTCTTGTACCACCATAGAGTCTCAACGAGCCATCTTGACGTAATCCCTAGCCTCTTCCGCGGGGTCGACTTGCTCTGCTTTTCCCATCAACCTCAGGTACAATCGGTACCAGACTTGCCTAGATGCACCACTGGACGAAAAGTGTCTGGCCTACTGCTTACTATACATAACAAAAGAATCGGGTACTGAATCTCAACGGGGTCGTCACGGCTTTCGAAGTAGTTCTCTTCGTGGAACCGGCATTCGCGCTCAGCGAACGGGTCGACTACTTGGGCTAGATCGTGAAGGGTAGGAACTAACGTGCTAAATACCTTGAACGCTTTGTCGAAGGCATAACACCCAAGGATATCCTGCGGACCACTACCTTTACAAGTCACACGCTGCCTCCCAGAGCGCACGCAGCGAGAAGAAAGCGTCCCCCCTTTTACCTTGGCCCCGCTATGGGGGGCTTCCCATCCAAGGAAAAGGGGACCAGTTCCCTGGCTCTCAAAGGGTCTCCGTCTCTGTCCGTTGTTGCCCGAAGGCGCAATTTTGGGGGAGTCAAGGTGGTACATGAGACAGTTAACACGTAACACTGGTTAGCTGTCTCATGTACAGACGAGGTGACTACATTGCATCATTTACTTCATTCTCAAGAAACATAAACATGTTGGTCGGAGTGCGTGGCTTAATCGTGCTGCGTTTTTTCCCTCACATCCAGAGATTTCGTGCTTGTGATGGCGATTCATGTGTTGCATGTGACACGACCGACACTTCAGTCGCCATTTTCCTATGGTGGTCGCCTTTCTCTCACGTAAATCCAACGCAACGTTGCTCCAACCGCAACCTGTATTCTTCGTATTCTGCTCATTTCTAAATTCACCGCCTCCTGCACTCACCTTCTCCACACCTCCCTCACAATGAAGGTCATCTCCACGATTACAGCTTCGCTCCTGATTGGATCGGTTACTGGACTACTTGGCGGCGTAGCGGTTTCCCCCGATGGAGCTTATCAGGACCGCCGCTTACAACAAAAGAGGTACGTGACCGGCATTCGGCAGACCAACGACATTAAATCCGACGCGGACTTCAGCTACTGTGGTGGTGCTCTTATCATGTGCTTACGACGATGGCGTGTGTCGAAGACGAGATATATGCTAAATTCGTGTCAGTTGGTGCGATTTATGTTGAAGGCCGCGACGACGGCAATGACGGCGAGATGATCGAGATCTCAAGCATCCATGGACACCCGAACTATAACAATAAATCGTATGTGAACAACTTTGCCGTGTTAAAGCTGGCAAAAGAAGTACAAGATGATATTAAGCCATTGAAGCTTCCGATACCTGTCACTAAAATCCAACCTGGAATGTGGGGAAAGGTTATGGGTTGGGGATCTTCCGTCGCTTATGGTCCGTTTTCCGAGGTGCTGCTTAAGCTTGACCAGCAGCTGATGTCTGACGAGGATTGTCAAATAAGGATCGGTATCACCGCTTTCGATATGACATACATGTGCGCTGGTGGCGAGGCAAATAAGTCTCCGTGCACCGGAGACGCCGGCGGCCCGCTGATCTTCGAGAACCCCGAGGGAGACGGCGACGACGTTCTGATTGGTTTAGTAACCAAGAGCATGTACCCTTGCGGCGCCGAGGGATACCCCACTCTCTACTCGCGTGTGTCGTCGGTATATGACTGGATCAAGACTACCATAAAGGCATAATGGGCACACGGTTTGCGTGATCTTAGCACGTACAGATTCACAGAGGTTTGGCAAGATTTTGTGAATGTCGAGTAAGCATGCGAGAATTTACCTTTTTGCACACGTAGTCTCTGAAATGTCTGCACTATGACTTCTTTTCGTAAGGATTGAATCCTTCTAGATCGCTAAGTGTAATAAACCCCATTCTAATGTCTTAAACTGCCATCGAGAAATACTTGCGTACGATGACTGCTGCAGCTTCAGAGTTGATAACGGCAAGAGAAGACGCGGTTTACGCTTGCGTACGAAGTTATGAACCAAATCAACTTCGTGTCAATTTTCGTAGCTAGCTTTGAGCTTTTGGTTAGGAAACAATAATATGACGAACTTGCAACTTGCTAGCTGGACACGAGTAAATGGAATGCATTGCACCATGCAAAATCTTGCCAAACCTCTGTGAATCTGTACGTGCTAAGATCACGCAAACCGTGTGCCCATTATGCCTTTATGGTAGTCTTGATCCAGTCATATACCGACGACACACGCGAGTAGAGAGTGGGGTATCCCTCGGCGCCGCAAGGGTACATGCTCTTGGTTACTAAACCAATCAGAACGTCGTCGCCGTCTCCCTCGGGGTTCTCGAAGATCAGCGGGCCGCCGGCGTCTCCGGTGCACGGAGACTTATTTGCCTCGCCACCAGCGCACATGTATGTCATATCGAAAGCGGTGATACCGATCCTTATTTGACAATCCTCGTCAGACATCAGCTGCTGGTCAAGCTTAAGCAGCACCTCGGAAAACGGACCATAAGCGACGGAAGATCCCCAACCCATAACCTTTCCCCACATTCCAGGTTGGATTTTAGTGACAGGTATCGCAAGCTTCAATGGCTTAATATCATCTTGTACTTCTTTTGCCAGCTTTAACACGGCAAAGTTGTTCACATACGATTTATTGTTATAGTTCGGGTGTCCATGGATGCTTGAGATCTCGATCATCTCGCCGTCATTGCCGTCGTCGCGGCCTTCAACATAAATCGCACCAACTGACACGAATTTAGCATATATCTCGTCTTCGACACACGCCATCGTCGTAAGCACATGATAAGAGCACCACCACAGTAGCTGAAGTCCGCGTCGGATTTAATGTCGTTGGTCTGCCGAATGCCGGTCACGTACCTCTTTTGTTGTAAGCGGCGGTCCTGATAAGCTCCATCGGGGGAAACCGCTACGCCGCCAAGTAGTCCAGTAACCGATCCAATCAGGAGCGAAGCTGTAATCGTGGAGATGACCTTCATTGTGAGGGAGGTGTGGAGAAGGTGAGTGCAGGAGGCGGTGAATTTAGAAATGAGCAGAATACGAAGAATACAGGTTGCGGTTGGAGCAACGTTGCGTTGGATTTACGTGAGAGAAAGGCGACCACCATAGGAAAATGGCGACTGAAGTGTCGGTCGTGTCACATGCAACACATGAATCGCCATCACAAGCACGAAATCTCTGGATGTGAGGGAAAAAACGCAGCACGATTAAGCCACGCACTTCTACCAACATGTTTATGTTTCTTGAGAATACGGGGTTACACGACGGTTGTAGCGTCTTTCCGAGAGTTTACGGTTAAACTCCCCTTTGTATTGCATATAATGCATTATTATACTTCTCTTTAGAGAGGTATTAAGTATGAGCGTTAAGATACGGTATTCGGTAATACCGTATCTTATCGATTGGGATTCGATAAATCACTAACGCTGTATTAAGTACATCATACACAGATGTTTAGACGATACGTCGTCCAATAGCAAGGTCTGCATATAATAATTACTATTATAGTAATTAATCTAGTGTAGTGTACTTAGAGTAGGACTATTCATAATATCTTAAAGCCTAAATAAAATCAGTTCTCCTTTTGAGTTTAAGATCGCAAGTCGTTCCGACTTGTTCTTTTGTGCACTTCGTGCGTTGGTTCTCTGAACCCCTAAGCTTCTAGCTTGTTCTTGCACTCTGTGCGTTGGTTCTCTGAACCTTAAGCTTATTGCTTGCTGACTAAAAGTCTCTTTCCTAGTTCCTTAGAACAGGGTGACTTTAAGTCGTTTAATTGGTTCCTTAGAACTAAGTGGCTTTTAGCCTTAACTCTATTTAGTTCTCTAGAACTAAGAGGCTTCCAGCCGAAAGTCTTCCTCTGGCTAAAGAGCTGTGCAGCTCCGCTACACTTGGTAGCACTTGTAGTCAATCCTACACCTGAGTCTTTAAAGACTGACCCTCTGTGAGGATGGAGAATCAAAATCATCTCTCTGAGGCACAACGACTCGCCTTAGATAAACTATCTGTGTTCGTCGGGCCCGATCAAATCGAGGCTCTTTTGGCCCAAGGCCCCGAGGTTCTAAATGCTCGTCTTGAGGCATTTATGCGTTATGAAGCAACGCTCCTCGGGCAGGTCCATGACCAGGCAGCGTCAGCCGCGCCTACACAGTACATTCCGGTACCTGTGACCGATGCAGAGCCAAAGGCTCGTCCACTTGTTTTAAGTGTCAAGACCTTCGAGGGGAAGAAGAGAGAAAATCTTCTCCTCTGGATTCGAAAAGTTGAAATGGCAATGGATGCCGCCATGCTTGTTTCAGATAAGCAACGAGTTGGCTTGGCCATTTCGAAGCTCGGTGGAAGAGCTAGAGAGTGGGCTGTAACGAGCGATGTATCTGTGAATGCTGCATTCCCCACATGGTAAATGCTTAAAAAGCAATTAACTTGCGTGTTTGCACCGCCTAATCAGGCTTATCGTGTGCGCTCACGCTTCCTAGCTACCCGACAGAGTAAGAAATAATTGTCGGACTATGTCCAAGAGTTGAGAACTCTCATCGCTGCTATGCAGCAGGACCCACTGGCAGAGGAAGTCAGAGTAACCATTTTTATGGAAGGACTTCATACAGAGGTCGCCAGGACGGAAGTTTTCCGTGTCCAGCCTTCGACTTTCAAGGAGGAAGTAAGCATAGCGTTTAACGCTGAATTTAATTTTAAATCTGCTCGATATGGTCTGCCCTGGTATCAATAAAATACCTCTAACAGGGCGGAACCCATGGATCTCAGTCAAGCTGAAGAAGCTGAGCTTCAAGCTGCTGAGCAGCAAGGTAACATCCGTAGATGTTATATGTGCGGAAGCACTAGGCATCTCCGCCCTAGCTGTCCGTTGCGAAATCAACGTTCAAATCGGCAAAGCCGAAACCCTGCTCCTAGCCAAAAGGCGAGCACGGCAGCGGAAAACGTCAAATTCCAGTAGGCGCGGGGCGACCTACTGGTAAAGAACTAAGTTAAGGAACTAAGTTCTGTTGAACCTTTAGGAGGTGAAGGAAAACAAGGCTTAGCCCCAGGTGGTTCTGTGGACGCTCCCATGGAACAAGATTGCAAGCCAGGCTTGTTGGTTGTGTCGGCAACCGTTAAGGGTTTTGAGAAACCATGGTCAATTTTAATTGACTCAGGGGCGTCAGGTAATTATGTTCGACGTCGTTCCCTTGAAAGGAGTCAGCTGTATGCTGAGGCGCTAGAAGCGCAAGAGGGTGACAGTATAACCGTGCGTCTCGCGACCGGTGACATGTCACCGTTCCTAAAGTTCCGCTGAACTTAGGTGTGAAGTTCTTAGACTTCAATAGCGTTGAACGCTGTCTTGTCCTAGATTTGGACTCGAGATATGATCTCATTCTCGGTATGGCCTGGCTGGAACGCCATGTGCCGTGGATCGATTGGAGATCCAAAATCTTAGGCGCAACGCGCAATGTTCCTAGCGAAGCTTTGGAGAGTCATGAACCCACCTTCGCTAGAAAACAAAAGTGTTATTGGCGCGAGCCATTAACTAATTCAGTTCGTGTGCTGGATATTGGAGTGTCTGAGTTGATAAACTCCGATGCCAACAATAATAGTGTCGAGCAGAGTTCAATGACACTTAGTGGAACGGCACATACTCCGTTGAGTGATATTCAAAGTAATATTGAGACACTGGATGTCGGTAATGACATCGGCTCTCGTATAGAGCAAGTGAAGGTCGATGACCTTGTTAGTAATATTGGCTGTAAATGCGATTCACTGGATGTCGATAATGACATCGGCTTTCGTATAGAGCAAGTGAAGGTCGATGACCTTGTTAGTGAGGTCACTAGTACTAGTGACTCACTGGATGTCGGTAATGACATCGGCTCTCGTATAGAGCAAGTGAAGGTCGATGACCTTGTTAGTATTGGCTGTAAATGCGATTTACTGGATGTCGGTAATGACATCGGCTCTCGTATAGAGCAAGTGAAGGTCGATGACCTTGTTAGTGAGGTCACTAGTACTAGTGACTCACTGGATGTCGTTAATGACATCGGCTCTCGTATAGAGCAAGTGAAGGTCGATGACCTTGTTAGTATGGCTGTATGCGATTCACTGGATGTCGATAATGACATCGCTCTCGTATAGAGCAAGTGAAGGTCGATGACCTTGTTAGTAATATTGCTGTAAATGCGATTCACTGGATGTCGATAATGACATCGGCTCTCGTATAGAGCAAGTGAAGGTCGATGACCTTGTTAGTGAGGTCACTAGTACTAGTGACTCACTGGATGTCGTTAATGACATCGGCTCTCGTATAGAGCAAGTGAAGGTCGATGACCTTGTTAGATTGGCTGTAAATGCGATTCACTGGATGTCAATAATGACATCGGCTCTCGTATAGAGCAAGTGAAGGTCGATGACCTTGTTAGTAATATTGGCTGTAAATGCGATTCACTGGATGTCGATAATGACATCGGCTCTCGTATAGAGCAAGTGAAGGTCGATGACCTTGTTAGTGAGGTCACTAGTACTAGTGACTCACTGGATGTCGTTAATGACATCGGCTCTCGTATAGAGCAAGTGAAGGTCGATGACCTTGTTAGTATTGGCTGTAAATGCGATTTACTGGATGTCGGTAATGACATCGGCTCTCGTATAGAGCAAGTGAAGGTCGATGACCTTGTTAGTAATATTGGCTGTAAATGCGATTCACTGGATGTCGATAATGACATCGGCTCTCGTATAGAGCAAGTGAAGGTCGATGACCTTGTTAGTGAGGTCACTAGTACTAGTGACTCACTGGATGTCGGTAATGACATCGGCTCTCGTATAGAGCAAGTGAAGGTTGATGACCTTGTTAGTGAATTCACGGATACTAGTGACCCACTGGGTGTCAATACTGACATCGGCCCTCGCATAGGGCAGGTGAATGACAAGGAGTCTGTTGACCTTGGGGATGATGGTATCCCAAGTACTTTGAAGAGTACGGTCTCGTCAATGAGACGGCAGCGTCGCCAGATAGCGGCTGCGAGACGCAAAGCGTCTGTTTTATCGCATAGCAATGTCAGTGACCAGTTGTACACCCTGGTCAACGGAGTGACAGGTGATGTAGATGGTAAGGTTGACCTTGAGGCCCTCTCATCATTAAATGCTCTTTTAGAGCTAGACGAAATGTCTGTGGATGAATTTCATCAGGCCTTGAAGGAAGGTGCTCTATCCGATATGGTGGTCATTCGACCTAACCTCGAGCTGAACTCATCCTCGCTTGTCGATGAGACAGTCCTTAAAGATACAAAGGCGGAACTTAGTGCATGTAGTGGATTATCTATCTTGAAGAATCCTTCAGATCCCTACTATCCTTTAGTTAAGGAATTCCAGGACGTGGTGTGTCACGATCCACCGTCGGTTCTACCACCTGATAGGGGTGTACGTCATGAAATTGACTTGGTTCCCGGAACCAAATACTGTGTAACACGGCAGTGGCCTTTACCCAAAGAACAGTGTGACGTCATTGACCAGTTCTTTCGTGCAAAGCACGCGGCGGGCATGGTGCGCGAGAGTAAATCTCCGCACTCGACACCCACTTTCTGTGTTAAGAAACCGAATGGTAAATGGCGTATCGTTCATGCTTATAATAAGCTCAATGCAGCCACTATACCTGCACAGACGCCAATACCTAGAAAGGATGTTCTTCAGAACAATATGGTCGTTTGTACCATGTACAGTGCGCTCGACTTAGTCGATGGTTATTACCAATTGCTCATGCGAGCTAGTGATATTCCGCTTACTGCTGTTAGTACTCCGAGCGGTATGCTCTGGGAGTGGTAAGTGATGCCCTAGGGGTTATCTAATGCTCCGGCTACATTTAACCGTTTGGTGACGCAATTGTTTCGACCCCATCGAAGTTATGCACAGACGTACTTTGATGACATTTTTGTCCATAGCCGATCTGAACATGGGCGGTCAGATATTGAGAACCATATTGTTCATTTACGAGCTGTGC